CGTGTGTCTATGGATATATAATGCATATAGAGTAAGCAATGCTATATAACACTGCATAAGTTTAACATATACAATATAATGATTTGATATATGTATTATGAAATGATTGTCACATAATTACATTCTTTCTTCCCTTATGATGAGAAGTTTGAAGACCTTAGCAACTTTCAAATACATATATCTAATATTATTAACTATAGTCATCAAGCCAGGCACTATTTTAAGTACTTTTCATATATTAACTCACTTAGTTGTCCCAATGCCCTATGATTATATACTATTATTACCCATGATTATTACCCATGATTTATCAGTGAGAAATTGAAGCACAGAGTAAATATTTAGTAGTATTTACTATGACTTAAGTGAGGTTTTTTTACTTCCTGCTTAAATTATTTTGAAATAATGAAAAAATGTAATAATTAATTTTATATAAAAGTAATAAAAACTGAAATCTCACCACGTTAATTATTTAAAGATTAGATTGCTTGCAATAGTTTGCTATTACAAATGACATAGCAATGAACTTTGTTGTAATTGAATCTTTGTCCATCGTCCCTATTATTTCCTACAGATAAATTCTAGAAATGCTGCTTCAAAGAATAGGTACAAAATTTGGATAAATTTTGCTAAATTGTCCATTTTTTTATCTACCTACGATAATTATATTTCTTCTACAAACTTTTTTCGATTTTTTTCTTATTCGTTTGTGAGAACTCATACATTTAGAGGATTAGTCATTTGTTTTATATAAAATTAAACTTTCATCTTTTACAGTGTGCTTATAAATTTTTCCCCCCATATATTTTTTATATAATTAAATCAATCTTTTCTTTATGATTTCTGCCTTTGGTACTATGCTTGAAATGGGAATCATTCTAATAGTCCATGAACATTTACTTCAAGTCATTTTTTTCTAGTACTTTTTTTGTTTTACACTACAACTTTTATTTCCATTTGGAAATTTTGGGTACTGAGTAGACAGAAGATATCTTTTTAACCTAGTAGTTATCCAAATTTCCCACCACTTTATATTGAATAATCAATGAGTACAAGTAATAGAATAGTAGTGTTTAAGCAATTTTTCCATTTTCATGTAGCAGCTAATTATATAATATACTTATAGTTGTGTCTCACTATTTGGGAACTAATTTTTAAGTAAGATATTCTAAAGAAAAAGGTCTGAGGAGTTCTGCTTATAAATGCTCCTCACCCAACTTTTTTCACTGATTTAGAGGAAAAATGAATAACACATATTTCAACGAACAGATGATCATTTCTGGCACACATGCTATATTTAATTTTTTAAAAGAATTCATTAAAGTAGGATTTAGATTCTATTGAAACTCAAGTTGAATCCTACACTAAAGCAGAAAGCTTGGCATGTTTTCAAATTCACTTCAACCCTAAAATGAGATCTAAAATTTGATGTCAAACATTTTCAGAATAGCCTTAAAATATCCCCTTTTTAAAAATTATCTGTACATGTCACCACTGATATTTGGTTTTTAGGCAAATATCTGTAAATCTCACATGATCTCTGCTCAATTAACCTGCCAACATTCTCTTACATAACAGTACTACACTATAAAATAGAGTTCTGTGATTTCCAGGTAAAGTGTTTTAACACTGCTTTCTCACCCAAGCTGTACAAATCAATGGCCCATAAGTTATTTTCATGTTTTTATAATAAGGTACTGTCTCTCTGTTTTAATTTTAACTTCTTGATTCAAATAAACAAAAACATGGATGTTTAATGCACACGCATACAAATCACTCCCCTATGTACCCCTTAGAACAAATACCCATCTTATCTTTAAAAAGAACTTTGAGTAATATGTATGAAATAGGAACATAAAAAATTTTATCTTTTTATTCATTAACTAGAGGCCCAGTGCCCAAAATATTGTGCACTCAGAGGGGAGGGTCCCCTCAGCCCAGCCTGTGCTCTCTTGCAGTCTGGGACCCCTCGGGGGATGTCCATCTTCTGGCTTAGGCCCGCTGCCCGGGGGATTGGGCCTAAGCTGGCAGTCAGACATCCCTCTGGCACCCCAGGAGCCTTCGGGGGATGTCCACTTGCCAGGAGGGAGCAGGCCTAAGCTGCAGTCGGACATCCTTAGCACTGCTGAGGAGGCAGGAGAGGCTCCCGCCACCACCGCTGTGCTGGCAGCCATCAGCCTGGCTTGTGGCTGAGCAGAGCTCCCCCTGTGGGAGCGTACTGACCATCAGGGGGCAGCTCATGCATTGAGGATCTGCCTCCTGGTGGTCAGTGTGTGTCATAGTGACCAGTCATTCCCAGTTGTTCTGCTGTTAGGGTCAATTTGCATATTACCCTTTTATTATATAGGATTCTCCTTTGATACTATATACTTTCATTATATTCTTGAAAGTTTATTTCTATATTTTTCTTCTCTGGTACATAAAAAAACATTTAATCACAAATTTAGAATTAAAAGAAATCAAAGCCTATCCACTACATATTTAAAGTAGTGTATAGGAGAAAAATACGTAATCTAAAAATATAGACATTACTATACAATTTTAAATTATACAAGTAAATACTACATTATGTGTCTTTGATACTAGTGAAATTTCTAATTTATATTTGTTTTTATTAGATCAGTGAACATATAAATAATTCAAGATGCTCAGGGGAAAAAACATGCCAAGCTTATAGTTTAGTGAAATACGTAAAATATCAACATTAAAAAAATGTTCCCTGCACTGGCTGGTTGCTCGCTCAGTGGTTAGAGCGTTGGCCCTCACACCAAAGGGTGGAGAGTTCAATTACCAGTCAAGGGCACATTCCTTGGTTGTGGGTTGTATCCCAGCCCCAGTCAAGGGCGTGTGGGAGGCTTCCTCCCTCCCTTCTACTCTGTCTGAAAATCAATAGGAAAAAAAATCGTGTGAGGATTAAAAATAAAAAAAAAAGTAAGCAGAGTTAGGGGTCAGCAACTATTTCACAAAGGAAATTGTTGGGAAAAAATAATAAAATAAAATGTTCCCTTATTTAAAAAAATCAAAACCAAGTAATTTTCCATAGATTAGCCAATAGGGATAAGAAAACAATGAAAAAAAGGCTTTTAGATTGATAAAGCACTTCACTTTTTTTAAAATGTTTTTTATTGGTTTTTTTAGAGAAGAAGGGAGAGGGATAGAGAGAAACATCAATCAGCTGCCTCCTGCACACCCCCCACTGGGAAACGAGCCTGCAAACTAGACATATGCCCTGACTGGGAATCAAACCTGTGACCTCTCGGTTCATGGGTCAATGCTCAACCACTGAGGCACACCAGCTGGGCAAGCACTTCACTTACAACACAGGGAAAAACAGGGGGAGTCAAGCATTCTTAATTTTAATTACAGATTCAAGATGGAAGTCCAACCAGAAAAACTAAGTAGAACTCTGAAAACATAAATGATCTTTTGCTGAATTATGAGGTAAAATCAACAAAAAATGATATAAAAACAACATTAACAAAGAACATCAAAAATTCCAGTACTATCAAATCTGACTTTTAAAATGAACCTATTTTACATAAGGAAGTCAATGACTTTTTAGTTTTTTCTCTCTCCTCCCCCATTCCATATAATAAAAGCGCAGCATGCAAATTGTCCCCTCGACTGAGAGTTTGTCTGGGAGTTCGACCAGGGGGCAGGGCTGGGTGGGGGAAGGGAGGGCAGCACCAGCTGGCAGTGGCAGCAGGCGACCAAGGGAAGGGAGGGAGGCACTGGCTGGCAGTTGGCAGCCCCTAGGGACCCTACCAGTACACAAATTTTGTTCACTGGGCCTCTAGTCTATCGATATAAAACCCTAATGCAAATCAACCAAACGGTGGAATGACCAGTTGCTATGATGTGCACTGACCACCAGGGGGCATAAGCTCAATGCAGGAGCTGCTCCCAGCCTGCAGGCCCTGACCAGTAGTGGTGGCAGGGGGCGAGCAGGTGGCGCCAGGCCAGCCAAGGTGGGTGTGAGTGGGGGCCCCCGATCGCCCCACAGGTGGCCCTGCAGATCGGCCCTGATCGCCAGCCAGGCCTGGGGACCCTACCTGTGCATGAATTTCATGCACCAGGCCTCTAGTACAATATAATTTACTCGAAAGTCAACAAATACTGTTAATCTTCTGGTATATTTTTCCTTACAACTTTTTTTCTGTGCATTTTGAAACATAACTCAGTTGTCATGAATTTTGTTTCCTAAATTTCTGAAAACTTTTGTAAGCTTCATTCTCATTGGCTATACACTATTTTAAACCACGGTTGGGGAGAATCTTTTTTTTTGCCAAGGGCCATTTAGATATTTATAACATCCTTCTCAGGCCATACAAAATTATCAACTTAAAAATTAGCCTGTTATATTTGGTCAAACATTTAATTATCTCAACCCTAATGCCTTGGCAGGGCCAGACCAAATGATTTTGTGGGCCTTATGGCCCCACGAGCCGATGTTCCCCGCCCCTGTTAAACAGTGGATGCAACACAGTTTATTTAACCACTCTGATATCAGCCATTTAGATGTGCAGCATTTTAGAATACTTCTTTGAGATAAAATCTGAAAAGCAGAATGAATCAAAAACTGTGAGCTTTTCAAAGCTCTTGATACAGACTGTCAAAATGTCCACAAAAAACAATGAGCCAATTTACTTATCCAACAGCAGTGCTTGAAAATACCCGCTTCATAAAAATTTAAAAAGCAATAAATTTTTTAAATATTCAATATGTTGATAATTGATTTTAGCTATGTTTAATGCTTATTAAAAAATTGGCTAGCCTGTGAACTATTCTTTTGTTGTTGTTGTTTTACATAGGTTCACTTCATTTCTAAGTTTTAATTATATAATTCCATTAACACAGATTATTAAAAATCTTTTACAAACACCTCAAAAATTTTTAAATCATTAAAAAAATCCTAAAGCATATTAGGTTGAAATGTTTATAATTATGCCTCTTAAACAGTAAATGTTTGAGAACTAGACTGAAATAAAAGTGCAGAAGACACACAGTGGAACAGAAAGAAACAAAGACTGGAGGGGGAAAAAAAACACCTATATAACAAAGATTCCTTTCATATGTGTTTATAAACTACTAGAGGTCCGGTGCATGAAATTTGTGTGGGGGCTGCGGAGGGTCCCTCAGCCCAGCCTGCACACTCTCACAATCCAGGACCCCTTGGGGTATGTCCAACTGCCAGTTTAGGCCCAATCCCTCTTGCAATCTGGGACCGCTGGCTCCTAACCACTTGCCTGCCTGCCTGCCTGATCACCCCTAACCGCTCTGCCTGCCTGATCACCCCTAACCACTCTATAACCCTGCCTGATCACGCCTAGCCGCTCTGCCTGCCTGCCTGATCGCTCTTAGTCACTCTGTCTACCTAATCACCCCTAACAGCTCTGTCTGCCTGCCTGATCACCCCTAACCTCTCTGCCTGCCTGCCTGATCGCGCTTAACCACTCGTCTGCCTGCCGGCTCAGTGTGCATTATAGCAACCGGTTGTTCTGCTGTTCAGTCAATTTGCATATTACCCTTTTATTATATAGGATAATTTTTCAGTTTAATCCTTTGTAATTTCATAAAACCTTTTCACTCAAATAGCTACTCTTTTCAATAATTCGCCAATTTTAATGAGTTTGAGTAGCCAAGAAAGTGTTTTATTTCCAAGGTCAAGAAGGATTTAACTTTGGGTGGTGGGCCCATGATGCAATGTATAGATAGATCATATATCACAGAGATACACACTTGAAGCCTATATAATCCTATCAACCAATGTCATCCCAATAAATTTAATTTAAAAATTAAAAAAATATAAATGGCTACACAGTAAAAAAATAAAATAAAAAGTAATTAAAAATTTTAATAAATCATTATATTCTATTTATTTCCCATGCATACATTAATATGCTGAATTGGTAATTCATTAAATTTAAATAATCTATTTTACACTTTTTATTTTTACCAAAGCCAGTGTAGGTCACTGAATATCATTCTAAGGTTGAAAATTAGATCATGTGAAATTAAAGCATAATATACCATATAGAACAAAATGTTCCTTCATTAAAATATACGCATTGTTAGATTTCACAGAGCAGTGGAATTACATAACGATTTTCTTCTCAAATCCTTAGAACCAAGAAATATGTAAGGACGCTAAAAATTTAAGTAAAGCAAATATAGAACATGTATACACAGTGTAACACTATAATCCTGGACATTCAGAGCCTGAAACTCAAAGTTTATGCTTTCAGTTATAGACTTTTGCTAAGTGTCCCCAATCTGATTTTCCAAGTATGCCCTCAACCCCACAACTATAAGCTCAAAGAATCTGTCTGATCAGGAACAGAAAGCAAAATCTAAGAGATCCCAAAGTGGCAAATCTTATGTGGAAAATGCTGTATGGATGCATTTAATGATATGAATCACTAAAAAAAGTTTAGCGCCACACTGAGAGATAAGAATAGGAAAGTACCTTAAGTGAATAATGAAAAACAATTAGAACACAGCGTCTTCCACACTACTTGATCACTTTTCCAGTTTTATTAAAACTGTCTTTTGAGGCAGACTGATATGATTCTATACAAGATAGACAAAGTTTACTAAAGACTTTTTCATCCAACTCTAAATAGACTCTACTTCACTATCTAGTATATAAACAATCTCACTTAACAAAAAATAGTATTGAAGTAGAGATTAAATTACCAGGATAGAAACATAAGTAAAACACTAGTGCAATTGAGTAAACAACCAAGAATTCCTGACTTCTAAAGCAAAAGGAGTAAGTGAATGCATTAACTTCTTAAATTCACAAATTAAAAACTTATCTGGTCAATAGCAAGTTGATTTTACTACTAGTAACTATTTGTTATTTTAGAATTTCTGAACTCTG